CAGCACTAAGAAGCTAAAGCCACTGCAGCATGAGTTCGACCCCGGCCCTGGAGATGACCCACATGGCACAGCAGACCTCTCCTGACCTGCCCACTGCTCCCCTCAGCAGTGTACTTCATTATTCAGCCTGTTCTGCTCCCCATTCTGTCTTTCGTGAATCCTCTCACCGCCCCTGCACCCCTAGCCTATACCCCAGCTCTGTATGCATAAATAAATAAAAATCTTTAAGAAAAAAAGACTGGGATAAGAAACTGAGGTTATGAAGGCAAAATGTACCAATTCTCTCTCTTCCCCAGAAAAGGAGCAAAAACAAAAACGGAAGAAGTTGATCTCTTTCTGAACTCATTTATTATCCTGCCTCTAATGTTGCATCTACTAACAAAGGAGAGCTCTCCATGTAACCCAGTGTGACCCCAAAACCCAGTGGCACAGAAACCAAAAAAGAAAAAAAATCTTGCCACCAGCTTTTGAGAAAAGACCCAGCCCAAGGCAAGGGCCTCCGCAGGAGACTAAGGCAAGGCTCTTGAATCAGTTTCCACCCAGGATAGAGCTTCAGGTAGTATTTTCTGAGGTTGAATAATAATGACAGGAAAATACAAGTTGGTTGTTTTCTGCAGAATCTTAGTGTGACGCCAGTTTGGATCCAGAACTGTGGAGACTGAGCATCACTTGGCCTTTGGCCGCTGCCCCTCTAACCATGAGTAGGGCACCTTGCTTCAGTCCTCCCTGGCTGTTTTTGGTCTGGATAAGGAGAGATCACTGAGGATAGAGAATGCTCTTCTGGGCCTTCCTTCTAAAGCCCAACTTAGTGAATGAGGAAAAATCAAGTTTTTCCCTTGTTTAAAATGGATAGAGTACCCAGTTTTGTCCTACTGTTGCAAGCCCATGCTGCTGTTCTTGCAAGTTAAACAGAAATAGGAAGTGACCTTCGTGGCCACCATGGCTGTTTCCTGGCCAGTGTCATCGCACCCAACATCTTCTGTCATCTACAGCCAGTAGGGTCCACTGGTCACCTTCTATTCTTTTTAGAGTGCCTCTATTTCTCCTCTTCTCTCCCTTTGCTTCTAGTGCAGTTATTGCTCACCTTCTCTTCACACAGTTCCCTCCCCCAACCCCTTTGTAGGTGTCTTTGTTCCACCTCCATTCTTCCAACTTCTCTCTTGGCTTAGAGCCCTCTGAAATCTTTGAAGGAATTCAAGTCAGACCATTCTTCCCTGTGCCTAGTCCTATCACATTGTTCTTGGCACCGCTCACCAATGCTGCCTTGAATCGAGCATTTTCCCCTGTGTCCTGTGTTTGCTAAGAACCTAGAGGGTGACAGGACAGGAACCGTAGTGCACTGATACTGGCTCCTGTTGCAGTCAGTGACTGGCCAGATGCAGGTGTACTGCAGGTACCGCCTCCAATAATAATCAAATGAATAAATTAATCTTTCATTAATTGTGAAATCTGTTCAGGCATATGGCCTAGTGCTAAACATCTGCAACCACATAAATAAATATTACAGGATGGTAAGGCCTTTTTCTTTATTTTTGTTTTAAGGACCCTTAGATGCCTCCTCTTGGGGGAAGGTCATGCTCAGAGCCCAGAAGGCAAACTGCTCCCTAACATTTTCACATACTCCCTTTGTGGGGAAGTGGACAGCTTGTCACCTGGAGGGCTGCAGTTTTCATTTGTTACAGGAGGTAACCTGTAGCCTGACCTGGGGGAAATGTGATAATCGGGATGTGACCTCTGCCCCCCCCCCATAGAGAAGCACCCAGACTTCACAATGCACCAGGTGGATGCCTCCACAGCCTAAGGTGTGGCAGGGAAAAAGGAAAAACTCTCATGAGTTCAGACCAGTCATACAAAAGCAACTTTCTCAAAACAGGCACTGATACTGCGTGGTCCTGCAAGTAGAGTGGCCCAGGAAAAGCTTCCCACCGCCTAACTGACGTTCATTTCTAATTAACTAGACTTCATTCCATTGTCCCTCTCTTTAAAACCACTCAAATGATCATCTCACAAAACCTAACAGGATTAACCTAGAGCATTCCATTGATGAAAATAACAAAATGTCCATCAATATGATATATGCAAGCAGTGCAATTTTCTGGAACCATTAGGAAGAATAAGACAGATATTTAACTTCTGATATGAGTGGGCATTAACATACTTCTCAAAAGGGAAAAATAACTATGGAGTGGGATGACCTCCTTCACATCTATGCATTTATAATTGCTAACACCATCCCCTCCCCCAGCCTTTTTTCCATAACATTTATCCCTATTGGACATAATATATATTTTGCTCATTTGGTTTTGATATTACTGTAGTGGTCATGTTATAGGGCACCCCAAATCTGTTACAGGACAAAATCTGTTATATGACAGGGGGAGAGAGGGACACCCCTGAAACTCCAAAAACCTGCCTGCACTAAGTGGGTTCTGCCATCAGCTGCAACAAGACAAACATATAAAAATTTAATGAAAATGGACTTTAATACAGTGAATATACAATACGGAACACAAAGAATATAACTTCCAAATCAAACACCTGAAGTGACCCATCCCCTCGTGGGCAAAAGTCCACCCAAAAGGGATTGGCCTGAAGCAAGGCCTGAAAGCCCACCACAAGACTAAAGCACCTTCTGGCCGGGACCCATGGAAAAGGGTCAGAAATGACCAGACAAATCTGGGAGGAAAAGAGCAAAATCAAAATCAATATAAACACTGCCATAGTCACCTCCCTACAGGTATCTCACCCACATCTGCCTTAACCAGTCCAGGGTCAGGAAACAAGCACCGCTTCTTCCTCACATTCTTGCTACTCCATGTGGCTTCCTTAGGTCTCCTCCTTGTTCTCCATCCAACTTCCTTCTCTTCTCTTCTCCCTTTCTTCTCTCCTTTTTCTCTGCTCAGCTCCACCCTCCTTCTGGGTGGGGCAGGGAACCTAGAACCTCCCTTTTTCCTAGGGACCACCCTGTTACAGTCAGTGCATGAGGAATTTGGTCTGTTTCATTTACTCCTTTTTCTCCAATGCCTTGGCTATATACTCAAACCTGACTCCTCGAAGTGGGGTCCAAGCATCTTGGGGAAACATTTTTAAGATGCAGCCTCAAACCCCACCTGATCTAATGAATCTAGAGTCTCTAGTTTAACAAAATTTTATTTATGGTAAAGGTTGAGATGTTCTGCTTATGCTTCTTTCGGATAGGCTTAACTGTGTTGTTGCTATGAAACTTGACACCTTTGGGGCCTTTGAGACCCTGGGGAGTCACTGTCCTTTCCAGGGTTAACTAATACCCAGAGATAACAATTTGCCTAGGAACAGCTGTTGATATGCAAATCAGCCATACCAGGATCTCTGCCCCCAGGCCACCTATTAGCAGGTTTCTGAATTCTGGAACACTATCCCCATGTTCTGAATCACCCTTCTGGAACTATCACTATCCCTCAAAACCCTCTGAAATCAAGCTGTCCAATTCTAGGTCTTCTTACCCAGCTTCTTTACTTTGCCTCTCCTGAGTAAACCAAAAAGGTAAAAACTTTTGCCCACCTCTCTGCCATGTGGCCTGTGTGGCTTGACAGGGCCCCTCCCTTTTGGGCATCCTAACTGTCTTCAGTGGCAATCACCTCCTGATCTGTTAGCCTCATCAGACCCCAAAGAAACCAAATTCCCAGGTACACTTCAAAACAGGCTGCTCTTTTAAATTATTGTCTTCATTGACTGCCACCTGCCACCCCTCCCCCTTCACCTTGCCAATTTCAGTTTCCTTTGTGTAAGTCTGAAGATACCCAGCAGAGCCAGATGTTTTGGTAGAGTCTGAGGAACAGGCTGCAACATAGGAGGGTGCTAAGCCAACTCATCAGTCTAAACTCACGTTTAAATAAAGATGATCGAGGATAACCATGAACAAGGTTGTAAATCTGCTTAATGTAGTATGGCTATGTTGAATGCCAATAATGTTCCTTAAGCACAAGCTTTGAACACTTCAGAAACTGCAATTACAAATGATTAAGACCTCTAAGATAATGGAACCATTTCAATTGAAACACACAAACTTATTTACAGTATTCTGAGATGTC